GGGAAATGGCGCCTCTCCACCCACCCCCCTCACAACACACAGTTATAATAAGGACCCCTCACAACACACAAACACACACAATAGGGACCCCCTCGTAACACTTGCATAATAGGGACCCCTCACAACACACACTTGTCATAGCGAGTACCTACAACATTTATAATAGGGACCCCTCACAACATACATTTGTAATAGGGGCCCCCAACCCAGTCAGTTGGGCCCATGGCGAGTGGGGGGGGAAGAGAAACCCTCTTCTCTCCCTCCCCCCCCCCAAGGAAGGGACTCCAGGGTATATCAGGCAAAGTGCAAAGAAACAAAACGGGGAGGGGGGCAAAAATATGGTGGCACCTTAAAGACTAGCAATTATAGTTTAATGTGAGCTTTCATGGACCAATCCACTTCATCAGACGGATGGAAACAGAATGAAATGGAGATGAAATGCAAATGTTGCTGTTTGTGGGAACCAGGCCTGTGTTTGTTTTAGGGTCCTGTTGTAAAAATACTTCGAGAAGGCAGAAAACCGACATCAGGTGTGAGCAGAGATGAGAAGTGAGGGGAGAAGAGAGAGAAGGGGTGTGTGTTTGTGGGTGGGTTTGGAGAGGCAATTAAGCCGCAAGAGGGAAAAAGAAGTAGTGAAAGAAGTTGGCAGAGGAATCCTGTGTTTCAGTGTAGGGCATTACCGTACATGTTTCTACCTTACAGTAAAGAAAATAAGTGGTGGTGGATAACAGAAGGTGCTGCATTTGGTAGTGGCTTAAGAAACCGAATGTGTGTGTTGTGGGTACTTCCTTCCTCAGCTCTCCCTGTGGAGAAGTGAATCTAAGGGGGAGCAAAGTTTTATTTTGTGACATATTTGAGTTGCAGTGCCTGGAAAGCTCCTCTTTTGCAAAAAAAGGGCTTGTTGGGGATGTTGCAGGCGTGATGTTTATTGAATTGGTAGTGCCGGGAATCCACTTTGTCTGACTCTCTTTCTCTCTCACACACACACACACATATGCACACATCTACCCTTTTATTTTATTTTTTGCTTGATACATCTACTTTTTGTTTTTATTGAACCACTGAGAAAGAAAGACATACAAAAACTGCAAGCTGCCATGAGTAAAATCCCATTCCCTCTGAGGGAGGGGGATTGTACTCAGGGACGTTTGCTATTTGTGTGATTTGTTTCAGTGGTTCAGTAAAGCTGTCACCTGACTCTTGCTTTTTGTAGGCCTGAACCGTGTGGCCTTTTCCTAATTCATTCCACAACGTTTTATTTTGTACTTGTTGTGCAAGAGATCATTCTCTGGTCTTCAGTTTTGACAAGAAAATCCCAGAAGTTTTCTTGACAATCCTAACTTCCAAGTTGTTGGATTTTTTTTAAAAAAAAAAATCACTGCAGAAAACCAGAAAATAAAATGGTTTTCAAAGCTATAACTGGGTTGATGTGGATTGGCAATAGCAGGAAATCAACAAAAAACAGTGTTCTGTGGCACTCTCAGGACTGCTTTAGTTCAGTGGGAGCATTTGTGGGTTACCTGACAGCCCACTTTGGCAGGCAGGAGCGATGTGTCTGAAGAAGTGGATTGCAAATCTACCAAAAGTTTGTATTGAAAAGATTGGATAGCCTTGGAAATTAAGTAATAGCTTCTTGCATTTTAATGATCTCTCCCCCCCCTCCCTTTTCTGCCTGAGGCAGTTGCCTCACTCTTTTTAACAAGAGGGGTCAGCCCTGTGGTTGTGGTTAGGGGTGGAAAGAAATGACAGTAATGATTTCCAGCAGACAGTAGAACATAGGAGAGGTGGCAGGCATGGTGGTCTGTGGCATGATGGAAGGAGCATGTACTTCCTGTGACATAGTTGTGAAAACATGTCTGTTTCTTTTAGCATCTTACTCCCTTGTTATTTCCTCAAGCAGCCAAGGGACAAAACCTAGAGTAGGGCTCTGGGTAGAAGCACACATGGCTATTTTATAATGGAGCTCCAGGAACATGGAACAGAAGGCACAGGGACTCCACCCCGCTTTTCATGGCTCACATATGAGGCACAGGTGAAGTACACTTCATATGAAGGAGGATTAGAGATGGGAAGGCCTGGAAAACAATGGAAATATTGAGGGGGGGGACGAGATTCAAGTGAAATCTAAATCTGCATTTTACCCTTATTTCAGCCTGTCTGGCTTTTACTGGTAACCTTGTTTCCTGTCTTTCGTTTTAATTTAATTTAATTTTTGTAAATTTTTTGCAGGAATAGATTAATATTTTTATTTCCAATAAAATAAAAACTTCAAGCAGCGTTGATAGGAGGGAAAACACCACTATTGGAGGATATTAGTCTTCATGAATGTATCAGGAGTTTTAAAATGTTGATATTAGGTTTGTTTGAAGAGGTTTTTCTAGTTGTATGTTGAAGCAAGGAGATGAATTGATATGTAGGTTAGTGCACTCACGGTTGGCTTACTTTTTGCTCTGAAGTGGATCACTCTTGTCATTTCTTCTCCTGCAGAAGTAGACAACTTGTTCCTATGATTCATGTTTGGCAATAATTCCTCTCCTGTCAGTTGATATAAGGAGGATGGGAGGTATTTTTTGATGCTGTATGTAGAAAATCATTAGGGTATTCTT